CTGTTACACCCACAATCCAACCGCTTCGTTCAAATCAAATAACATTAATTACTCAAGTAAGTACCTATCAATGGCAATTCCAGATCCCACTCTTGCAGGACCCAAACACACGTGAAAGGCACCGATGCCTCCGCCTCAGCTCCCTCTTGGTAGGAAGCAGAGTGGTGCTCTGCCACATTGGCTGGAGGGGCCATGTCTCACTCGGGGTCTCGTAAAGGGAGTTCGGCCAGGGGTCTCCCAGATTCTGGAGAGGAGCTGCCTCCTCTTACGAGTATGGGCTGAAGGCTGGAAGGAAACAGCCCACCCAGAGAGGCCGTGTCCATGCACTGCTTTGGCCGCACTGCTCGCTCCGCCGTGGGGTCTGGTAGCTCTGTCCTCAGCTGGATGCTTCAGATGAAATTATAGCAGGAAATTGTTGATACTGAAATCATCATATTTTAATATGATGATTTCAGTATGCTGCTCACGGGCAGCAAGTGAGCTCACCCCTCAGCAAGGCCCCGTTATCAGCTGCCTGCAGCCACCAGCTCTGCCTGGACTGGCGTTGCTCACAATCAAATTCGGAGCTGAGGGCAGATAAAAAAACCCGATCCCCGCTCTGCAGAGCCTGAGAGCCATGCTGAATGTCACACTTGTAAGTACAAAGAGAGTCTCAGTCCTGACGGATGAGTCGCCGGTGTCTGTGCCACTGTGGGAGGTCACGGGTGGGAAGCAGCGATGGGACCTTGTGGGGATGCGGGGCCAGAGGAGCGGGCGCGGGAGAGGCCAAAGCTCTCCCTTCTGCCCCCGGTGCCTGGGAACTGACCCACCCCTGTTTCAGCACACAGAGTTTTTTTCCTGTGAGATCTAAAGAATAAAATAAAAAAAATTGAAAAAAGTTCTAAAATAATGAGAAATTTCCAAAATAGGTGTGTTCACATAGCACATACACGCTAAGGCATCCAGCATCTTTCACGCGCCCCTTTGTGCTGCCTGTGCCGTGCTGATCCCAGCCGGGCATCCCTCCGGGGCCAGCACGCCAGAGCCAGGCTGACAGATTTGGCCCGTTGTTTCCCAACCCTTTGCCCCGTTGAGCCGGGTGTCGCGGAGCCACACTGCCCTGCCTCCTCCCCCAGCATCGCTGGGGCACGCAGCAGCCCTCCCCGCAGACAGCTGGGCAGAGCTACAGCTCTTTGAAGAAGGACAAATTGCATTACTTAGCTCAAGCAAATATCCTTACAAGTCTGATATTTTCAAATCCCTGTGGAAACGTTAAGCTAATGTTAAATTTATCAAAACCCTCTAGCTTTTAGCCCTCCATCAGTTTAAGGAGCTTCTTATTACGTTCTTCAAAGCAATTAGGAGGCGCACACACACTACATTTCAATTAGGTTGAAAAATAATATTTGAGGCAAAGTTAAATTCATTTTTTAATTAAATGCAAAAATTTCCCTAATAATTAATTTGGGGGGTGGGGGGCAAAGTAGTGGTGTAAAAGCACTCCGCAAAGTTTGGCCAGAAGGGTGCTGGATGGAGGTTTAACTTCAGTGCACACACTGAGATGCACGCTGGCTTTGGGAAGTGGCTGTTTTGTCCCGGTATCAGTCATCTCTGATACGAACTGTCCCACCTAATGCAAATTGTTTAACTGCAGACAGATCTGCGGGCAGCAGCTCATGGCCCTCAGCTCCTTCTGTAGCACCGTGGTTTAACCCCAGCCAAGAACCAGGACCACGCAGCCGCTCGCTCACTCCCCCCCATTGCGATGGGGGAGAGAATCAGAAGAGTAAAAGTGAGAAAACTCATGAGTTGAGATAAAGACAGTTTAATAGGTAGAGCAAAAGCCACGCACACAAGGAAAGCGAAGCAAGGAATTCATTCCCCGCTCCCCATGGCAGGCGGGTGTTGAGCCGTCCCCAGGACAGCCGGGTGCCATCACACAGAACGGTGACTTGGGAAGACAAACACTGCCACTCCAAACATCCCCCTTCCTTCTTCTTCGCCACCTTTATATACTGAGCACATCACATGCCATGGGATAGCCCTGCGGTCAGTTGGGGTCAGCTGTCCCGGCTGTGTCTCCTCCCAACATTTTGTGTCCCCCCAGCCCATCCCTGCTGAGAGGCAGAAAAGGCCTTGACCACGTGGTGACAACCAGAAACACCAGCAGGCTTTGACACCACCCTCACCTCAGATCCGAAACACAGCCCCACACCAGCTGCCAGCAAGAACGTTAACTCCACCTCAGCTGAAATGGTGACACGCGGCCAGAGGAAAGAGGGACGCGTGGTCAGGAGCAGCCTCAGTTGCTGCCCGTGTGCCTTTTTCTTTCAACTAACTGCAAGTGGAGTGTGACACTGCTGCCCGTGCTGCTGCCCACACTGCTGCCTGCACCACTGCCTGCACTGC